AACACTAGCATTTACGGTCAAATCATTTGCAAAAAAGATGCCGCGATAACTCCGTAAGCAATGAATAGTCTTTTCTAAAAACTAGATATCCACAATTAAGGCGTGTTTGTGTAAGTTTCGCCCCCTAACTCACACCAAAAACAAGCCCCTACCTCATGCCAAACAAAACTGGCTAAAAAATATGAAAGACCTAAATCAAAGAGCTAAAGCTACAAAAGTCTTAGAGGAAAACTAGGAAGTACATTTTTGTCACCTTGGATTTAGCATTGGTTTCTTTTCTTTCTTTTCTTTTCTTTTCTTTTTTTTTTTTTAAGCTTTTAGGTTTTGAAGCTTATTTTTTATTTGTTTGTTTGTTTTTATATTAATTTTATTGAGAAAGAAGTGGCAATGAGACAGTTTCAAAACAGGTCAGTAGGACAGTCACAATAGTTAATACATTGCATGCTGTTGTCTCCGCACTGGCTTCCTACCTATCACACAGAAGTGAAAGTGACAGAAGGAACAACTAGACAAACTGAACTTCACGGGAATGAGAACTCTTCTGTTTCGAAGGACACTTCAAGGAAATAAAAACCCTCCCAACACGCAGAGTGGGGGAAGCTATTTGGCAACTATATTTCTGATGAGGAGCTAATCGCCAGCGCACATACAAAACTCATAGTTGATTTAAAAAAAAGAAGACATCCTAAATTTTTAAAATTAGCAGAGGATTTGAACAGATATCCTCAAAGAAGATGCACCAGAAAGGAAAGAATTTGTTCAATGGGATGGAAAAACTGGGATGAGGGAAAGGATGAAGGAAAGAAGGGAAAAAGGTATATATTCTTTATATATGGAGGATAGTTTGGATAATTGCGCTGCCGATCTCTGTTGGTCTTTTGAAAGGAGCAATTCATGCTTAAGTTTTTTATTTTATTTTTTTTTTATTCCTTCTAATTTCTTACACCTTTGTTGTTTTTTAACCAATTTTCCAGATTTATATCTGGTAACCTAAACAACTAATTTGAACTTCTTTTTTTTTTTTTTTTTTTTTTGGCGGAACCGGGGATTGAACTCGGGCCCTTCCGCTTGCCAGGGAAGCGCTTATTCCACCAAGCCATCTACCCGGCCCCCCAAACAACTAATTTGAATGATGAAATCATGCAATATGGCAGCCCTTGTTGAATTCCCATTACTTTGTCTGATGAACTTTGTATCGTTCCTGATGGTTTTTTTAAAATTATATCATGTTCTTTAAAAAAAAATTAAAAAAAGAAGATGCACCGGTGACTGATAAGAAAGAATATGCCAAGATGCTCAATGACATCGCTCAAATACAAATCAAAACCCCAGTAAGGTACCACTTTGTATCCTCCAATATTGCTGTAATCTGAAATATTAAAATGCTAAAAGATGTCATAGGCCAATCAGCCTCGGGTTCTTTTACTCAATGGAGATGAAAACTGTCAATCAGCAAAGCGCAGCTCTGTCGGCAGTCCTGATGTCACCCGGTAGGGCTGGATGCCGCCAGTTGACACCGCCAGTTGCTGGTCACTAGCATTGCCAGCAGTCACTCCCTGACGCCCTCTTGTGCTGGACACCGTAGGCCCACGCTAGTGGCTGTTTCCCCGTCAGCTGCTGGTTTCTGGAGCTCTCTGGTGCTAAGAACTTCGAGTGCTTATTGCTTTTTCCTTGGAAACGATCGTTTTGTCCACACTACTCAGGCTAAGACTTCCAGGTAGGGGCCTGGTAGTTTCGGGGCCCACACTGCCTGAGAAGTAGATCATGACCAGATTTCCAGGAGCGTCACAGTGAGTCTTTTACTATAGCAAGCACACAGGAGAGAACCTTCCTGCACTAACCAGGGCAGTGGCAGGGAGGGAACGCTGCACAGGTAGCAGCTGCAGGCCTGCACAAGTAAGGGGCCCAGAGCCCTTCACTCCTGATCTGAGCCATGCCAGGGTGCCCCCGTCCTTCTGCAGAAAGGCAGCAGTATTGTCAGGGTCGGAGGACGACGCCATGCCACCTGGCTGGCTGCACTGCAGTGGGATGACGAGGGAGAACATCATTAGATCACCAGGGAAGACACTGAAGCACACTGCCCCAGTCCATTGGGGTGCAATGGGGAGCGAAGGGAGAGGAGGGGAGGGGCAGGCCACTGCTGGCCCAGTCACACCCCTCCAGCCAGCAGGGAAGAGTCAGGCGCTCCTTCTCTGCCTCAATAACAAGTGTTGGTAAAGATGCAGGAAAACTAAAGCCCTAGCACACTGCTGGAGGGAATGTAGATGGGACAGCTGCTGCTAAAACAATCTGGCAGCTCCTCAGAGACTTAAATGTAGGATTTCGTATGAGCCAGCAGTTCTCTTAAGTGTGTGTCCAGGAGAGCTGAAAGCATCTATGCTCACAGAAACTCCTCCATGAATATTCATGCAGGCAAGAGTCCTAATAGTACGGAAAGGAACTGACTCGCACGTCCACCAGTGGTCCAGTGCATCAGTGCAGATGCTGAATCACCAGAGAATCATATTGACCAGCCACAAAATGAATATTCATCCGTCACAAAATGAATATTCATCAGCCATGAAATG